GTATAAAAAACATGAACACAGAACCATCTCATCTGCTTCCTCTCTGTAATGTGAAGATACCTGATTTTATGAGTCATTGTATATAAGAGAAATGACAAAATACCCTTTTCTGCTTTATTTAAATTTATTTGATTGCTTGCAAATTGTTCACGATCATGAATTGCATTTATACATGAATAAAGTAAATCTAGAGCGAAATATTCGTATATAGAATTGACCAAAAAAAAATGGAATATTTTATCTCAGATATAATAGATTAGGCAATGATTTGAATAAAACTGTGTGCTTTTTTTTCTTAAGGGGAAGAAAACAATAATCAGCAATGATCAGATTTTATAAATGTTTATGAATGATCCGCCAAAGCTCTATCTCATAAAATTTGTGTCAAAATCTTCCCTGACTCTGACTCAAGTTAGGTTAATTGTTAACATGAGATTTCTTAATAGTCAATTTAGGAAATTATTTTTTTTTCTAATTTCCCAATTACAGGTGAACATGGCATCTGGAGACATATAATGCATCAAGATGGTTTCGATTTAATTAAATTGCATTCCACCCAATGGCGAGACAAATGTAGATTAACTAATATTTCTCCTCTCATGCACATAGGAAAGGTGCTTTCAACCTGGAAGACATATAATATTTTCCCGATGGACTGCATGAAAAGCAATTAAAATGAGTGACTCATTTAAAAAAAAAATAAAAATTTTAAAGTCTGAGAATTTGGGTCGATTTAATTCGGTTGCATTCATCTCAGGGACTTCATTTTTTGATTGCTCTTTGTAAGATATTTTGAGCAGAAAGAAAGAAACAGATGGTTTACAATGGAAACTTAAGAACGTTTATTGACAAAACGTGCAATCCATTTTTTAAACATTTGATGCTAATTACGGAAATTCTGTTTCAAAATCTAGACAACATCGTGATATTGTAAAGCATTCACTTTTAGAGCTATTGGATATATAATCAGGTATAGGGAGGGATGCTGTTCATCAACTGTTCTGAAGATGTAAGACATGATGCAATATCTCTGCACTTACCTGATCGTGAGAATTAACTTTGACTTAACTTCTTTTCTAGTCTATTTCTCTACGCATATCCTTTGAATGTAAAGCAGTTTTTGAATCCGAGTTTTATGCACAAGTTATGATAACATTGTAGACAGAAGCCTTAAAATGTGTTTATTGATATTCTGAAGAATTACTTCTTTTGCGTTTCACAGTTAACATTTTGCGTTTGAATTAGACCCGCACATTTATGAAATCATAACATTGCAGCTGTGCAAAATTATACCTTTAAACCCAATTGTTGCTATTCTTTTTGTCGTTAACTTGTTTGTCAATAATTTGCCTTTGTTAGAAATTGTTTAGATAAGAAGGATTGGATAGACCAGACATATGCATTTGCAAATAACAGAAATCCAATTTATCAAATTCATAATATATTAAAGAATATAAAATCTGTATTCATTTTCTCAGGAAAATTAAAAAGGCTCATTTTTTCGCTTTTAAGCGTTTGAATTGTTCTTAAATGATCCGTAACGGAAAACAGTCATAATTACGAGGGGTGATCAAAAAGTTAGCGAACTAATTGAAAAATTTCTTTAAAAGAAATGAGATATGATATCAGTGTTGAAAGCTTTTAAAGGAGTCCTCTTCGATTTTAATGCGCATCTTTAACTATTCTGCCAATGCGCGGATTACAGTACCCGCATCGTTATTCTTTACAAATCTATCGTGTCCTATCGTGCGTGTATCCTATCGTATCGTGCGTGTATCCTATCGTATCCTTTCGTATCGTGTTTTCCGTTTATCGTGTTTTGCGTTTTCTATCGTGTTTTCCGTTTATCGTGTTTTGCGTTTATCGTGTAGATCGTTTATCAGGTTCTATCGTGTATCGTGTTTTGCGTTTATCGTGTATATTCGGAGACCCTCGCTTTTTATCTTTAGTAAAGGAAGAAACTACTGAGGTATTCCGAATTTCTTTTTCATTTTGTTAACTAAAATAAGATTATTCTAACCAAGAAAGAGAAAAGAAAGTTTTTTATCATTAAAAGAAATATTAAAGCGTGTAAGGAAAAGAATAAATAAATAAATAATATGATTTATAAATTAAATAATTAAGAATAAATTGAATTGAGAAAATAATTATATTATGGTTAAGCAGAGAATCAAAATTAATTCTTGAAAATTAAATAATCATTCCGTGGTTTTTTGATTTTTTTTTTAATTCATCGAATTGTATGACTTTTGGTCAAAATTAAATATTAATAAGATTTTCTTGAATTAGTCAGAGTTACTAGAGGATGATTTTTCACCAGAAATACTGAGTATTATAATTATAATTAGGATTGATATGTATCTTTTTTAATTGCAATATTCATTTTCTCCCGATTAATGGTCTAGTACTATTAGGAATGTGTTTCCACCTCTGATCTACATGTATGCACAATTATTTAAAATCTTGATTTTAAAATATAATATCAAAATTATAAAATGTAATGCAAAAGAATGCTCTACCCGATTTATCACATTATGGCAGTTACTATAAAATAGAAGTTTTTCATTTATTTTATCTGGCATTAGATAATCTAAAAATAATATACAGGGAAGAACATGATGACTTTTAACAGCTTACCTTTTCGGCGTGGAAATAAACTGAAAATATAATGCATCTGAGTGTCAAATCGAAGAGCTTTCCTTGCCATAAAACTAACACGTATGTGTACTTCTCTAATCAGCACTCTTCCTGTGCGGTCAACACCCCCTCCCCCCCCCGTATCCCCCTAAATGACAGCTCGGCCCTTGTATGTTCATCGTCAACATACCTGAACTGCTCTATCACCTTGTGTCAAACAGTATCTATTTTCGGGATTCTGTTCATACCTTGTATGACCTACATGTACAATCATAAAAGATTTTTTCTAAATAAATTAAAAATAAATTGTACAATTTATGGATTAAAAAAATTATTTCCTTGCTTGAATTTAAATAAAAAATCTAATAAATCAATTCCATGAAACAAAGTCCCTTTACTCAATCCGCTGATTTATTTTATATGTACGTTGTTTCCATAATGTTTATGTAAATAAGTCTTTTCAAAAAATACTGCACTTATGGTACATGGACTTTTGGGTCATGGGGTTTCCCTTCGAATCATCGGGTTTTCATCGGGTTACAGACAGAATTAATTCTAGGAAAATTTTCTTTGATCGCAGAAAAGATTTAAGTAATTCCAACATTCTAAACTATGAAAATTTGCTCGCATTATTTTTTTGTTCTACGGTATTTACTATAATAATGAAAAAGAAGTCTGATTCCGCCGTGACCATGCAAGACGAGTAAATGTATTGCACCAAACCAATTTATAGCATTAATCGAATTTACTCCATAACTTTATTTAAGAAGTCAATTATATTATTTTTGGCAATTTGGTTACATCATGTTTATCTTATTTAAATTGGTTACGGACTTTCAACATCCAGCCCTTTGAATATGCCGTATATGAGATTACCGGTAAGTCTAAAATAATTTTAGGGTTTAATAATTCATTTGCATTAGAAACAGTACATACAAAATTTAATTTAATATCAATGATTTATAATCATTTAGTCGGAAAAGTCGTACTTAACCCTTTTTAATATTTGTTAATAATTTTTTGTGTTTTGTATTATAAAGAAAAAAAGTAATAATCAATACCTAGGTTTTAAGTATCTGATATATGAATGTTTACCACTGGGTGAAAAAACCAGTTTCCCATTGTGGGAAACCTTATGGAAACCATATGGAAACCTCAAGATTATATTATGTTTCCTTGTGGTTTCCGTGCGGGAAACTGGGTTATTCCCCCTTGATTCCGTGCAACGGAAACACCCTACGCTCCGATTCCTTTAGGTTTCCCGAGGCTTGGAATCCAGTGGAATCGCGAGGTTTCCCTTGATTCCGTAAGTTTCCCGTACGGGAATCTTGAAGATTCCACTGGTTTCCGTGTCTCGAGATACCTAATGGAATCGGAGCGTTGGGTGTTTCCGTGGATGGGAAACTAGTCGGGAATCTCAAGAATTCCATGTTTTGGAAACCACTTGGATACCATAAGGAAACCTGAAGATTCCACTGGCTTCCGTGCCTCCGGATACCTTATGGAATCGGAGCGTAGTAGTTTCTGTGGATGGGAAACTAGTCGGGAATCTTAAAGATTCCATGAATAGGAAACTGCTTGGATTCATATAGTAAACCTTAAGTTTCCATAGGTTGGAAACCTGAGGGAATTGAAAGGTAGTAGTTTCCGTATCATGGAAACTTATCAGGAATCTTGGGGTTTCCCTTGATGGAATCTAAATGGATTTATTGGAATAACTTTTTTTTTTCTTGTTGAATTTTCTTTAAAATTCTCATACATTGTACTGGAATTAGCTTATGAGAATCTTCAAGTTTCTCAGGTGGGGTACATTTGTTATTGAATATTGATGAGTGAACCTTGAGGATAATAGTAAACAACAAAACAAATTTCAAATAAGATGACATTTGTATTTTCAGAAATTATATTAATAATACTATCTATTCAAATTCACAACAAAGAAAAATTAAAGTTACTCAATTAAGTTACTCAGTTCAGTTATTTAAGTATTATGTAAACAAAATAAATCTATGAAAAAGTATAACAAATTTTAAAGATATGTCAAAGCATCAACATTGTATATTATTATGTACAACATTAAAAAAAATCATGGCTTGCTTTTAGTTACTATAATAAAAAAAAAAACAATATTTTATACTGAAAACCAAATTAGTGACTATTGACATTCAGGGACTCAATTAAGTTACTATTGTATTATAAACAAGAGGCCCAGGGGCCACATCGCTCACCTGAGCAATTGGCTAGGAAAAAGCACATATGACATCAGAACTGAAAGTTTACTGAAGCGGGGAGGGGGCTTGAATTTTAACCCCCAGTATTATAAAAAAAATAAATCTATGAAAAAGCATAACAATTTTTACAGATATGTCAAAACATCAACATTGCATCTGTATGTAAATCTTGGAATACATCTGTGAAATGTGAAAGCAGTTGCCCCATCCACTCAAAAGCTTTATGCCTGGTTTACAGTTTTGCATACAGACAGACCAACAGTGCAAAAACTATATACCCTGAACTGTTGATTACATGTACATTATAAAAAAACCCAAAACAACTATCAATATTTACATCTGGAAATACACAACCACAGAATTAAAAAGTTCTTTTTCTTGTATCCTCTTGATAGCTGAAACCACGTTTGACCTACAAAGAATAAAAAAATAGTTAAAATTAAGTAATATTTTACTAATCCACAAACATTGACCCCCCATGAATTAAAATGATTGTACAGTAATTCTTATCTCCATAAAAAAAACAAGTTTTCTGGTCAAAATGATGTGAGTTATTATAAAAACATATGATGCGTTAAATTTCCAAAAACAGATTCTCTCAGATTCAAAGATAAGATGTGATCCACAAATTATTTAAGGATGTACAGGCATAATTTCCAAAAAGAGGTCACATTGTCTATTTTACCCTACTTTTGTTTGATGTTGCAGCTTTTCTTATAATGATAGTACACAACTGGTTAGACAAGGAGACGATACACTATCATAAAACTTATCAAAAGAAGGCCATAGAAAATGGTTCAATATAATCAGACTTTAGTATTTGCAAGCAAAAAATAACACATCGTTAATATTCTTTTTCAAATGATATTGATCTTTTTGTTCACTTGAAAAGGGAAGTTAAATGAATTTATAAAAGTTTTACACAATTCTAAGAAAGGTAAAAATAAATAAGTATCTGAGAAAATTAATTACCTCTAAGAGGAGTAGTGCCTGGAAATGGCCCAAGCAAGACACTTCTCAGGAGGAGGTGTTATTGTGTCCTCTATACCACCCCTTACACATACCAACTGGCGTCTGGCAGATTCGGTCATCAGGACCTTGTGTCTATATGCCTTGTCCAGTGCCTCTTTTCCCTTGCACGGTCTGGTTGATTCCCAGGAAAATAGGAGCCTGATCCTCTTTGTTGAGTCTTTGTCATCAGTCTTCTCGGATGAAGTTATGTCCAACCGAATGCACTCCGTCAAGTTCTTTTTAGATGTTGGGGTCCATGACTCGTCTAGATGTTCCACGGCTTTCGATCTTATTTCCAGTTTCTGAGGGAAAAAGCGCATAGTTAATCATACAGACTTTTTAAAAACATATCTGTACAATAATCAATAATAATAAACTATGTGACCTTAGTTTTGTAGAAATAGCCATTGACACAAAATATCATAAATTTCAAAGAATATTTAATTCCTCTACAACCCTGCTATACATGATTGATGAAATAAGACTGTAAATTAACAAATATCTTTGAAATATAGGCAAATTAATTTAAATATAAACCCCAAACGACCACTTTTTCATATCGGATTTTAGAGACTTAGACTTACTGAATGCTTTCTTTTGCTTTGTTTTGACTGCTGTCTGTGAAGATCAGTCTTTCCATTCTCCCGTCTCCGTTTCTCCTGTTTGTCATTAGTAATGACATTGATGAATGCCTCTAAAATATATAAAAACTCAAATATAACAAACTGAACACAAAAAAAGAAACAAAACACATCACAATCTTAGGGGACTCTCCATGTTGTCACTGTCACAACATGCCGTACATCCATTTGAAGCCCCGTTTTGGTCTGAAATGCTTATTTTATAGGTTTCTGTCTTAAACAAATTCACTTAAAACTGATAAATCACCGGCTATAGCTCAACATGCAATAATGAAATTGGATGCATCTCCTCTAGGCAACAAGAGTGGCCAATGTACCCCTTCTTAAAACATGAATTGTTTATCAAATTTTCAGTTTCTTAATTTTGACTTTTTTTGTTAATCAAAAATATATTTACAAACTATTAAATCAAAATAAATTCAAGTTATAAAAAAATGATATGAAAAACCCAAAAGCCTTATCATCATGATATTTTATCATTCTGAGTCAAAACCCCTTAGTAGACAAAGCTGTTTCCTAAACTGATGCTTCTTTTATAAAAAAAAAACTTATTTGCTTTTCAGCTGTAACCCAGCAAAATATATCCCAATTACTGCAGATTTAAACAGATAAGGCAGATGTATTACCTTTACGTCACATAGAAGATACTCTGTATACACCCTGAATGTGAAGTTAAACCTGGTGAAATTTAAACTTATGAAATCACCAAAATACTCCCACTATAGTTGGAATTATTATAGCCAAACCTGAACGTTTGATCAACATTCTTTATCAAATGTATTGAATGGAAAACACACAGATTAAAAAATAAGCAGAAATCTTATAAATCACCTTTTTCAGTTGTAAGCAAGATGCATTTGTCCAACACAATGCGTCCGGCGCAACAAAATTCAAAAAAGCTATTTTTTGCATATAGGTCACAGTCAAGCGACGTTCGTTACTCAAAGAGAATATTTGGACTACTGCACATTCATTCGATAACATTTTTTGATGCAGTAATTTGGACCCACAATGCATCACTTGTTAAAGCTACGTTCTCGCGAGAATAGCAGCAAAAGTTCAACTAAAACTGAAAAGTAAACATGCCCTGATTTAATGGATAAACATTGAAGATAAATAGTAAACAAAATATTCTTCATTTACTTTCAGCACTGCTCAGGCTTTTTTTTGTGGAAATTTATCTTACATATGACGTCATGTGACGTCAGAGTCTAGACGCACCATATGTTACGTGCAGTTTGATGAGCCCGATCTAAATTATAACAAAATATATATCTGCGCTCGCCATAACAGTCGCACCGTCATTGTATTAGTCAAAATGTGGTTTATATAAGGACCCATGTCAAGTGATATTGACATGACCTCTCATGCTTGGTTTCTATTTTCTTTCTATGCCGTGGGTCAATATCACTTGACATAGATCCTTATAACTTCATGTTGGCCTACACCGGTCAATAATTGTGAAATAACTGATAATTCAAGCTGATTATTAATTGGCATTACTTGATACACTATCAATATTAATTAACTATGTAGGCTTTTTCTTTTTTAACATCTTCATCTCAGCAGTTCAGACATTAGAAAATTTCTCTTTTGTCAGTAAACTATTTCAATATACAAACCTATTATCTTCAGCGTAGTGGACAGGCTTTCTCCTACATCCACTTTTTTAATGTATGTTATCCTCCATTTCATCCTCATGCATATGATTAAGGGTTATGCTAAGCTACAATCTATTTCAACTGTTCTGATAATGATATCCTTCATGAATAATCGGATAGATGCGATTGAAGACACTCTTTGTAAAATATTGATGCTTTTTCATAGTTTGAAACAAAAAATATCTCATTTATACCTTGTCATAAGTTCCAAAAACCACTGAGGCATGTTTCCAAGGTTTCCTATCTTGGGAAACGTACGGGAAACCACAGGTTGATTGTTTCCATGTTGGGAATCTATGTGGAAACCACTATGTGGTTTCCATAAAATGGAAACTATGTGGAAACTACTGCTGTCACGATTCTCCCATATGTTTCCATCGGGTTTCCAAATTTGGGAAACCTGGCTTTTCATCCTGTGTTATCGACTGATTTTTCTAGAGAGTGTATTCATATTCAAAATGAAATTATTGTATTGCAATGGACTTTGCTGTTGATTTGAAATATATCTTACAATGTAATACAGGAAATGATGTTATCCATCTGTTAACGAAAGAAAACAACTCGTCCCTTTATGTGTCCATCACTCTCCAGAATGGTATAACGCTGTATGAAATGTACGATCGATTCAATATCTCCGACGAAGCAGGGAAATATCAACTTTTTCTTGCAGGACCTGCCACGGGAACCTTAGGTAATAATATATACATGTTAAGTTTTCTTAAAACTGGACACAACTCTCGTACCGGTATTTCATCATATACTTCTTTTCATTGAACAATATTAAGCTGTTGTATATAGTGTCAATCAGTTAGTCATTCTAGTTTAAAATTTAAAATATATATCTTAAAAATAAAGAAAAATGGTTTGTAAAATTAATTTTTTTGTAACTAGCAAATGCAGTAGCTACGTTTGATCACCAATGTTTTTTGATAGCTTTTAATAATTTACATTTTAACTATCAGAGAAGAGTAAGTTTACAGAGCGTTTTGACAGCAGGTTCGGGAAATACTGATTCAAGGAAATTATTTGATTTGGAAAATAGTCAGAATAAAACACAAAAATACACAAAATCTCAGTGCATTTCACTTAACATTTAAATGGTACACCATTTATACTTCTTAAGTGAAAATCAAAATCGACGTTTACATTGAACAGAGGCTGTTACAATGTCTCCTTATCATTATCTTGACTTTGAGGTCATGATAATGATTTAAAATGTAACAGGCTTTACTCAGTTTGTCAATTTATTTGTACACACCATTGCAGTTATGAGTCTATATCTCATATAAACTAATGTTTTAATCCAAAAATAAATCCATTATCTCTATGATATATTTTTTCTGTAATTTTACAGGGGACAGTATGTTTACAACAGGTTATTCTTACAGAGATCTGTCTGGGATGAACTTCTCCACCCCAGACAGAGATAACGACGTATGTAGCTGTAACTGTGCTGCTTATTACACCAGAAGAGGAGGCTGGTGGTTGAACGCCTGTCACGCTGCCTTCCTCAACGGACACTGGGCTTCGGCGGACTGGACCTTACCGTGGTCGCCTACAGTAGATAGTGGGGCGTCAGTGAGGGGGACTGCCATGATGATCCGGCGTCACTAGGTAAACCTCATTAAATCTTAATTACCTGTATTAATTTACTTGAGATATTCCCTTGAATATTCTAAAGGGAAAGTAGAAAATCCAAATGAGGTATAAAAATACACCTTTATTTTTCTAAAACATAATTTAATTTATTATTATTTTTTTTTACAGATGGATATTCAAAATAGAGAAACCTCAAAATAACGACGACCATCCATCAGGCATATGCAACATTTCTATTAAAAAAAAAGACAATTTTAAATTTATTAGGGATTCGATTTTATTTTTTTTTTAAATGATACATGATGTATATTATATCTAGTAAGGAAATTTTTAAAGGATAACGCTTTGAGCTGGTGTGTATTGTGTTTCAACTTTTCCTGAAGCCGTAATTCTTTGTTCATTTTCTTTACAAAATGTACCCAGTAAAAGCTGTACATTATATGTGTTGTAATAAATTGGAAATCATTCTTTTTTTTTATTTTTATTTAAGTACATTTCCGCATAAAGATCTCTAGATGGAGAAAAAAGGATGAAAATTGCTTTATTATATAAAACGTATTTCAGTGGAGACTGTTTAATCCGACACCTACATAATCCGTAAAGTCCGACATTGGTTTTATTGTATCAAAAATATCTTTATAATGTAATTAGAAACATCTGCTTTTCTATGCAATATATCCCACATAATGCTTCTCTTGAGCGATATCTCCCATATCTGAAGAGATAACCCTCCTCGTTTTCATGCATGCGATATTTTGATTGGAAGCCTAAATATAATGTTTTAAAGAGGCTCTAAGCACCAACAAAAAGTAATTTTCGAAAAAAAATGTATCATTTTTAGTTAGCATATTCAGGCTATTTTGGTCATTTAGTTCATTTTCAATAACGCTACCCGCTGTAAAAATGACCTGAGAAAATGGATTATATGTGAACAGAAATCACTGTTGTTTGCTTAGATTGGGTAAATTAATGGAAATAATGAATTGAATTACTTATTCCTGATATATTATAATGTTAAGAATATTTTAATCCAACACTAATTGTGTAATTAACTGTAATTAACCAGTTTTTCTTATTCCTAATGACAGATCACTCTAGTGGCATAAAATTACCCTACGAATAGAACTCTTTATTGTGCAGTGTTTAGAACTTTCTTGATCTACTAAACAATAACTGCTTTGGTTGTTGCTCTTGTTGCATTTTAATTTTAATATGGAAATCAAAATTTTTTTGTAAGATGCCCCCTGTTTACTTTGAAAGCCCTAGTTCTTACTGTTGAAAATGTTAAGACCAAGGTTAATTTTTTTTTTAAAGAAAAAGTGGGTCAAACTCTCTGGTCAAACTCAAAAATATTTATACCAGCTCAAAGGTCTTATAAAAATAATACACATGTGAAGGATGAAAACCCTCGCTCCAATTGTTTAAAGGATACGGTCAAGTAAGATAATTTCCCGAACATGACAAGGAGCACACGGCAGCTATGACCGGTCGGCAGGGGATGCTCACTCCTTCGTGGCACCTGTTCCATCTCTGATTTTTTGGAGGTCCGTGTTAGCCCTCGTCCCATTTTGTATTGTTTTACGAATACTGTTTGTTGTCTCCACATCCTTCATGCTGGTATTTACTTGTAGAAGTAGGTCAGACACCAAAGTCAATGTCTTCTCACATGGAAGACACCTGTGCAATATGAAATAGAGAGTTCAGTAGTTCTTTACTTTCAGTGGATACACTATATCAAATTAATGAATAGGCTTGTAATAGATGCAATAGATAGTTTTTGATAGGCACAATTTTAGCAAGAGTTATATCTCGTTGGTCGTCATATTGGATATACATTAGCTGGGATTTTTCTTTCCTCAACCCCAAATATAAACTTGTTATGCTGAGGAATTGGTGGAATAAAACAATTCTTATGAATGTATGTTAATGCAAGCTTCCTTTAATTTATTTTTTGCCCTTATGTTTCTGCCATTCAAGTTTTAAAATTGGTCGCTCAAAGTGAAAAAAAAATCGCTACTTTGTAATTTAACCTCCAATATGGTAGTCAGGGGGCAATAATTCTTGCTATATATATATTTCTTAAAAAGAAACGATCAATTTAAATATTTTGAATATTTAAGTTTTACATGCTTACAAAAGTTAAAGATGGGTTTTAGCATTTTACTTATATATTTATATGTTGTTAATTAGGATTTTTACTCTTTTATCTGTTACAGTGAAAGTATAGTTTTTCTGTCATAAGCTCAAGTGTGTGAATTAAACTGGTTCAATAAATCAAGGACGTTTTAGTTGAAAACAATAATATATGGCAAGGAATCATTTAATAGAAAGTTCTTTGGCAGATTATGTAATTCATGATGATAACATTAGGGGATTTTTAATCGATTTTAATTAAGACGAGTAGAATACAAGCAGTCTGACTGAAATCACAATCTGTCATTAGCTCACTTAAATAATAATCTTGTCTCTACCTTGCGTCAAAAAGGTTGAACCCTTTCTATGGCAAAAAAGATAATTCTATATAATTTAGTTCGATTTTTGAGTTTTGCATCATCACATTTAAACCTTTTACCAAAAAGAAAAAAAGGCAAACTAATGGTGTAACCTCTTATTGCATAATTAAGAATACAGTCTTTTTCACGACTCTAAAATTTAAGATAATATACACAAAATTATCAGCTATTTATTTATTAAGAGAAAGAATACATCTTAAAAAATGAAGAAAAAACACTTGATTTTCTAATCATACATTATTATATGAAATAAAAATATGTTGGATTTCTGACAGACAATATTAATTTATGCTAATCCGAATTTCCTCTGGTCTATTTTTAATATATAACCCGAATTACATATATTGCCAATTAACGAGGCTATTAAAATCAATCAAATGTAACCAATTATCAATTTATTTAACCAAATTTGATAAAAACAAACTTAATATAAAACCTTTGAAAGAAAATAAATGTAGAAAATTTACATTCCAATTTTTTTTTAACCTTAAATTCTGAATAGATTCCTTGTGCGTTAAACAAATAATCCAATTTCATTATATTAAAATTTTCATATTTTTAAAGATGTATTATTTACACAATTCAGGTACAAAACGTCACAATTAAAAAATATATCAAATTGCGCTAAAATGTTTCGCTGATCTTGCTACTATAGACTGTTGAAAGCTGGAGCTACACGACATAGAGCGCCAAATGCATTGACACACAACTCTTACCAAAAATACAAACTTGCGCATTTTTATTTCTTACATGTTTTTTTTTTTTTTAAATATTTTTTTTTTAAATTAATAAACAACTTTGAAACACAATTTATTTTGAGGTTATAATTTCTTGGTACAGAATCATTAATTTTATCTTGTTTTATTTCAATTTGTGAGTTTGAAAAAAAAAATCCCAATGCAACCAAAAGTAAACGATTTTAGTCTTTATCTTCGAACATGTTGAAATGTTTATACTCACCATTCTTTATTGAGCATAAAGAGAAAATTATGTCATAATGTAAGAATGATTTAATTTTTAGAAACTAATTCGTATTACAATCGTTTGTTGATGTTATGTAAACCTATTGCAACTTATAAAATATCTAGTTGGATGAAATAAGTCCTATTTTTGTGTTTTGATATGCCCCCTTTTCACTGCAATAAAGGCTACCTCCGATTTTCTTTTCATTTTTTAATAGAGGAATGCAAATTGCATGATATATATTAAAATCAAAACATTTCATCATTTTTTTTTTTTATTTTGTCAATTCCTTTGTTCATTTCGGAGTTTTAGTATATAATTGTGTATAAAAACACGAAAAATGGTCCATATTTTGAAAGTGCCCCCATTTGACTACAATAAAGGCAAGGCAACAAAATTTTATTCTAATTTTTTTAGCATAATGCATACAAATTTATTTCCAAGAATAAAAATTTTTTATCATTCCGGTTTCGTAATTTGCAACTAGATTGGGCCTCGTTAAGGCTATTAAAATCAATCAAAAGTAATCAATTATCAATTTATTTAACCAAATTTGATAAAAACAAACTTAATATAAAACCTTTGAAAGAAAATAAATGTAGAAATTCAAGATTTTAAAATTTACATTCCAATTTTTTTTTAGCTTAAAATTCTGAATAGATTCTTGGTGCGTTAAACAAATAACCCAATTTCATTATATTAAAATTTTCATATTTTTTAAAAGATGTATTATGTATACGTAATTTAGAAAATAACACTGATATATTTACACAATTCAGGTGAGAAAAAAATGCATATTAAACATCTGAATTTCCTCTGACTTTTTTTTTTAGATAAGAAATTTAAAATATATTGGAATATGGAACATAATGATATACTTTTCTGTAAATTAAGAATCTGATCAACAATTTGCAATCCAAATTTCCTCTAGCTTAAACATAGTAAAGACATAAAAGGGCATGATATGACGACAATAGGCGGGGATGGACGGTATGTAGTTTATTTTAAAATTAAAAGTACATAATATAACAGTTTATTTTAAAATTAAAAGTACATAATATAACTCACATTGTTTTTGTTATTTTAAGATTGTAAGATAAAAGTTAATTTTATGATAATATAATAGTATAAAAGTAAAATTAATAATATTTTGAGTTTATATAATCATAAATAATTGTTCGAAGCAATAAATTGAATTGTTATGCACGCCAATTTTCAAAGGCTATTCAGAAACGCGTAGACGGATCCGTGATCTTTGACAGGAACTGGGCGGAATATAAGAATGATTTTGGTTCACTGGAACAGAATGTTTGGAATGATAAGTGTAAATTGCTTTCAAATAAGAAATTTTTATTCCTTCAAAAGATAAAAAAAAATCTTGTTGCAAGTAAAAAAAAAATCATAAAGCGTAATAAAGATCTGAATTTAAGACTAGGTAATATGTGTTCTAAGATATTCAGATATTGTGTTTAATTGATATCTCATATAATTGGGAAAAAAGACAAGAAGAAAATAATTTAGCGGCATATTTTTATGAGA